TGAAGGAAAGCAAATGAATACAATGTTATGTCTCAAATCTAGACCTGGCAACTCCAGAATACAGGTGTTGCACATTCATGAGGTAACGTAGGAAAGGCTATATGGCTTCATGTACAGAAAACACAATTACAACTCATTTCAGGCACTGAAACTCACTCTTAAAAATTGGTTTTCATAATTAAAATTATTACTACACTCTTCCATAAACTTTTGCAAAGCAGACATCAAATAAGGCTATCATTTCTTACTTGGTGGCACTGCTCCTTAACCAGCTCTGCCTTCCTTCTGCCATTCCCTCCCTCCAGCCATTCAAACCTCTCCACTGTACTGTACAGTGCATCAGTTTAAGCAACTGGTCTTACTGCAGAAGGACTTGGAAGAAAGAAAAGAACATTACTTTCATCCGATGCACTGCAGGGCTTCATAAAGAGATGTTTTGTGCAGTGGAGAGTTTGGTGCAGAGAGCAGGAAAAAGCAGCAGGGACTACATCAGCCAGCACTGGCACCAAAGACATTCATAGGGAACCAGAGTCTTAAATTTCAAACTAGTTTTAGTCTGAAATAATATTATGACACTTGTCCTGCAAAAAATCAGGAGCAGCATTCTTTTCCCATGTGGTCTCGATCGTACATCCTGTTTCCTTTTACTTAAAAGGCTTGTGGTTTTGATTCACAGCTCACAGACAGTCAATAAATGCAACCTAATCTGCTTTGGTATCTAACATTAACCTTCAACACAGTAAACTGTCAGTAAGGAAGAATTATGCTTGTTCCTCCCATAATTCAGTTGCTGTCATTTAAAGAGTACAAAATTTGTACATTTAAATCATACAGAAACTTCTTTTTCATTTAATGAAAGTATTTACTTTTATAAAGTTGGATTACTGATATTTGAAAAAATATGGGAAGATAAAATGTATTAACTAGTAAAATATAGGTTTACAATTTTCAAGAGTACTTCATAGAACATGCATTTATACTTGCTGTTAAAAAAAGATACACTGTTAAAACACTTGTATCAGTATTTTGCTCTAACTGGGAGAGTCTAAGGACATAGGCAAAACAGTGTTGTGGGCAGTAGTAGTGTGTTTTTCTAGATCAGCAGTTTAAAAAATGAAACATAATTTATAAAATATCTAAATAAATTCTGAGCGATTGCTTTTAACTTTTTTTCAGCTTTGAAATATGCTGCTTCTATTTCAGGCCTGGAAAGTGTTTCTGAGCACTTTTTTTCACTGTTTTTTTTTTCTGTTGGTACAATCTAGTTTTTCTAAATTATCTAATTTTCTTTTATAGGTCATTCTTATGCAAGAGGCTAAAAGTAATTAAATTTGCAGGATGAAAACATGGCACAGGCACTGCTGGTACCACCAGGACCTGAAAGCTTCCGCTATTTTACTAGAGATTCTCTCGCAGCTATTGAAAAGCGTTCTGCAGAAGAAAAAGCTAAAAAGCCCAAGCAAGAACATACAGATGATGATGATGAAAATGGTCCAAAACCAAACAGCGACTTGGAAGCAGGAAAGACACTGCCGTTTATTTATGGTGACATACCTCCAGGAATGGTATCTGAACCTTTGGAAGACCTGGACCCATATTATATCAATAAAAAAGTGAGTGAATAATCTTTCACACAAAATAGAATATAATCTTCTATATTAGAAAAGTTTAATCACAAAATATGATGGTTAGAGCCATCAAGCAACTAAATATACAGAAACATCCTTTCATCTAACAGAACTGATTTATGCTCTTCTATATTGTGAATCCTTCAACTTCCATTGAATTACTTGTTACTTGCCTCAGTGTAAGGAAGGTATAGCTTCCTTGAGCTTGCCTGAACTTGGGAATATGACTGAATTTTCCTGATTTCAATGTAGCAGTAAGACTGGATGTGACAAACGAGGTGTTCCAAGCATGATTTTGCAGTGGAGATGGTTGTAGATAACCAGGTAGGATCCATCCATGTTAGTGAAATAAAGGACTGTAACCGTATTCTTTGCTTCTGTTATAGCTATATAACATATGTAAACATATATCTATATACGTATGTATAAAATATATCTATATATGTATGTAGCATATAGAGACTCTGTGTAAATCTTGGGTCATATAAAACTACCACAATGGAAACTGTTGCTTGAGGAGCTTGGGATTGCTATTATAGTTGTTCTGAAGACTAATTGAGAGTTTTCATGCAGAAAGAGCAGAGCGAAGAGTTACATGTTATGAGACAAAAGTAATGTGCCTGAGTTACATGTGTGAGGCTGTAACACAACTGGACCATTAATAGCATAGATCTGCTCCATGAAGAATTTAAACTCCTAAAAGAGGTGTACTTCCCCTTCTGACTTGCACAGTCATACAAAGTCCTCATTTTCACATGATCCACAAGCCAGGGACTTGGAGATAGAAAGACTAGTTCAAACATCCATTCAAGTAAAAAGTTTGCCCCTTGACCTTTTTAAAAGTCAGGATCTGCAGTAGAGTATATGGGGTTTGGTCTTGTAGCAGTGATACATATAATCTGGAAACAGACTACCATTATATGACTTAAGAGAAAGACAAGGAACAAACGAGTATATCTCCGTACCTGGGATTAGCTGTAGACTGTGTTAAATTCCTCCAGGATCTGAAATAGTCCAGCCTGGGAATAGTTAAAAATACCTTTCGTCCTGCACAGGTTAGTAAAAGGTACAGCTGACAGTAAGAGCAGGTTCTCTCTACTCTCTATCTGCTTATTTCTGCATGCTCCTTTAGCAGCATCAAGATGTTCTCCCAGTTCCTGATAGACCTGCAAAGTGTTGTGGGTGAGGAGAGTGAAGGAAGATGAAGCTGTGAATAATAACTGTAAATTCAAAAATGCAGAAGGTGTTTTATGGTCAGGTGCTTCGGATTATCTTTCCTCACCTCTCTGAAACAGAGAAGGAAATGGACACAGTTGCTCTGATGACGGCTTGAGGCATTCCAGGCTGCCATCCAGATAAGAAACTTTATGCTGAGCAACTATAAAAAAATGAAGACATAAAATATTTTAAACTGTAAAGAAAATTATTTTGTTTGTTAGGAAAAAATCATGCCAACAGTGCTCTCAATTTTGTGGCTAAATTTCTGGTTGCCTTTGGTTCACAAAACTGTTTTAAAAATTATGGCTTCAGTAATAGGAATGGAAAATAAAGCAGAATCCATATGTAATTGCGTAACATAACAGTTGCCAAAGTTAAATAAATAGTGCTGTAGATAATACAAATATTAACATTATTAAGGAAATTTAAAGAAATGAAAGCTCAAAGAGAGAGTGTTACCAAGGGTAATTTTCATTTATATGGTTTTGGTTATATCACCAGTTCCATGCAGATTCTTACTTACAATATAGTTGTGTGGACTAAGCCCGTTTCTTGACTAGCTGCAAAACAATTCAGGAATAAAGTTGCATAAATAAGTTCAGGACTAAAGTTTTCTAAACAAGTCTTCCACAAACGAAGTATCAGAAAACCTGAGAAGTACTGAAACATACTTTCTAACCTTCAGTGATCAGAAAAAGTAGTCAGGTTTTTTGGAACAAAAGTGTAAAAACTCAGGCTACTGATGGACTTCTTAGTCTATGAGAGTAATTAGTAAACTGCAGAATCTTTTGTCACAGGTGACATCTGTATTTATGTTACGAATCACCCTAATGTGCTCAACAGAAAACAAACGGACACCTTAAATGATGAACTAGAATTAGTCATCCCTCCTCCAGTTTATAGTAGAAACTACTCTTAATCATCAACATGTCACTGCAGAGAAAATCATATGTGAATTGGAGTCTGTCTTCAGGCTCTGCTGCAGCAGTGACCTTGGGACAGGCAACATCTTTTTGCCATTTCTAGCTGCGTGAAGGACTGCAGGGCAGAGAGAAATGCCAATGAGTGTGAGTCCATTCTCTGTCATCCTCAGTGCTACGCTTGATGTTATTCTGTGAACAGGCACCGGCAATGCTCCTTTACCTGTCTTCTTTCCCACTGTAGAGAGGTTTGCTTTCTTTCCCAGAGACAGCAGACCAGATAGGCAGTAAAGGCCACGGAGAGGGCAACATTTTTCTGATCACAGCCAAGTTTTTACAGAGAATGGAAATCAACATGGAGAACAGTGATACTATATAGCTCTACTGAGAGCGTAACAAAGACTCTATTATGGTAACACAAAGCAGAGCCATTACCATCGACAAAGAGCAAAAGGAATGAAGAATAGTCATGTCCTGAAGAAATTTCAAACAGCACCAAAGATGCAAGTAAACCTCATGCACAAATACACTTGGAATAAAAATGAAAACAGTTAGGCCATGACCGCCAACAGGGACAGAATGAAAGTGAACACGAACTGTAGGTTTATCAGGTCAAATTTGAAAAGATAATAACTACCTAAATTTGGTGCTTACATATAGGGAAAATAAGAGCATATCATTAAAAATGAAAACAGCATTTTATTGAAGGAAAGATTTGTTGTTATAGGATGCCAAATTCTGGTGTATGTTTGTCTCAGACTGCTCAGAATGATGTCAGCTGGCAATTTATTCATCCCGTTTAATTTTTCACAGATACATTCTTAGAAGATACATATAATTTATATCGGTAGTATTTAAAAATCTAAAATGAAAGCAAAATTATTTTAAAATTATGGTTAATTGTTTAGTGACACGTGTTTGTCCTTGTCACCATATATATGTGTACATAATTCTATCAAGTATTTGTTCCAAATACAAACTGGCGTTTAGAATTGCCCTTTTACTGTTTTGTTTTTTTTAGTGTTTGCTCACAAGGTAGAATGTATTTGATTAATTTGAAACTCTGACTTTAATCAAAGACTTCGTTAGAAATAAAACTGAAAATGTTTTAGTGATGAACTGCTGCATTTTGCTATTACTGATAAACTGACATTGGTGCTGATAATTCCCACCAATTTTAATAATATCAGAATTCAGTCCACATGCTGGGAAATTTAGCAAATTGGAGAATTGGCTGTGGAAGGCTTAATCCACTGTATTCATGGAAATCAGTTATTTTCCTTCCACAGGTAGACAGTAGAACGGAGCTTGAACCTCCCAGGTGGAGAATGGAATCCTTTAGAAGGAGGTAAAGACATTTATGTAGTCAACACCGTATTTTAACTTTGCATTTCTTTTTTGCAGACTTTCATAGTATTGAATAAGGGAAAGGCAATTTTCCGATTCAGTGCCACATCTGCCTTGTACATTTTAACTCCTTTTAATCCTATCAGAAAAATTGCTATCAAGATTTTGGTACATTCATATCCTTTTTTCTTAATGTTGATTTAAGGGTTTCCATTTCAAACTAATACTTTTCATGCGGATATACAAATTGTGTCCACGCGGGTGTACTAGGCTAACTAAACATATGCTGATCACCCTTAAAAAGCAGCAATATCACATGTGAATTGCAATATGATCTTCATTCCTACCAAGAGAATCCTCTACTGAACCACCTAAAGCTGTCAGAGTTTAAATATCAGGCTTTATATACAAGAGACCTGATCCCATACTAAGCCCTGCAGCTAAGGCCAAATTAGTAACAAACCATTGCACTTGAACATATCTAAGGTCACACTTTTACCAAGACCAGTAGTACTATTCATGAACTAGACTCACTTAGCAAGGACAAAAGAGCATGAGTAAAGAGCTGCTTTTTCAGGCATACTTTTTCAGCATTGTGTTTTCGGCATTGGAGTAGGTGTCCTATAAAGGATCCAGGTCAGAATAAAGAAGAATATTTTCAAATATATTTCAATCGTGTCCAAAGAACAACTTAGGCGTAAACAACCAACCTCTGCCTAAAGATCTTTTAGAATGATGCCCCTGGCTTCAGTGCATAATTGTGTTTGGGTACTCATTTTATATTTTTGCAGACTTAAGGATGTGTTTAAGTTTCATTTAAATCCTAAGCCTGCCATAATTATAAAAGTAATGCATTGTTTTACAGTCAGTGCACCATAACATGCCAGATGGCATACCATTTAAAATAGATAAAATTATGTGCAAAGCTTTATTTTCAGATTTTATTCAGAATGTTGTTATTTGTACATCTTTTTAAACACTTAATATTTTTAATTATTTCAGTGTTATAAAACTGTCATGTTTTTCTGAGTTACATCCCTTGACTATAATCTACATTATTCAGCATGCTTATCATGTGCACTATTTTGACCAACTGTGTATTTATGACCATGAGTAACCCTCCAGACTGGACAAAGAATGTAGAGTAAGTTAAACGTTTTTACTTCTTCATTTTTACTAATTTGCTTTTGTGTGGCTCCAAACAAGAAGCATTTTTGGAAAGTTGCATGTCAGAACGGGCTTTTCCAGAGTCATGAAGAATCATATTTCATGAGATCATCAATATCTTTCTGGTTTCCTCCTGAATAATTTAAATGGTTCAAGAGTAATGCCTTGTTCTTTAAAATTATGTCTGAGGAATATCTGAACTTCTACACAAGCTCTTGTCCTTGGGTGTTCTGAGCTGTAAATTGGAAAAGGAGAGCCAGAACTTCAAATGTGCACGTAAAATGGTTGCATGTCATTGGGGAGGACAGCCATATATTGCTTGAGTATCCACGATCTTTGCATAGTGGGACATTCATTGTGGCTCACTGATGTGAACTCACAAGTACCAGCCACAGCACGCACACACAACACCCAAACCACAAGAAGCTCAAACCACGGAGGAAAGGGCCTTATCTCTGAAGGAGTAACAAAGAGGTCACAGAAGTAAGGAAACGACAAAGTAGCCTGTTTCTCTTTCTTGTTCATGGTTATACATGCATGTTTAAATACAGATACACGTTTTCCTTTGAAATATTATGTTTTTCTCTGAAATAATACTACTTGTGAAAAACCTAGTTCTAACCAGCTGTGGTTTCTTTCATTCCCTCACGTTCTCCAATAGCCATTATTGATGTCTATTTATTTATTTCACTGCATTAAGGAATCTTACTCTGAATGCTATATTTAGAAACTGTGCTAGTATTCACCCATTCCCAGTATGCTTAACAGTGACTATGGCTTTTTAGGGTTGCTGAGAGTCTGAAAGGAAAGCAGTAGGGTCTGTAGGTAGATTTCCTTTATTCTGGAGGTCCACGCAGACCCACGTGGGTCTCAGGAAGTCCCTGCATCACGCTGGTTATGACTGACTATTCCATGTTTTTAAATGAATGGTTGTTCCCACACCAGGTAAATTGGTAATCACGCTCCACATCTTCAAGAAAAACAGTCTGGGCATGCTTTCTTATACTTAATGATTATTCATGAAATAAACCTGTATTATAGGCATGAGTATAGTTATTATCCAGAACTGATTTTCACAAAACTCTCTGATTTTAACATTAAAAAAAAATCTTCATTTTTTGTAACACTTAGACATCTACATGATTTATGAATGCAAGCAAAGAGGCAGCCCTGTGAGTGCCAGAGAATGTACACATAAATATCAAAGTCTGAAACGTATTTATAAATACTAGAGTCTGAAATTATTTGCAAGCACAGAAACTGAGATTAAATCAGCCTTTTAGAAAATGAATAGTATATATGTGTCAGGTTCAAATGTCATCTACTGAACAACGATTATATTCTTAAGTGTTTGGGGCAAGTTAAGTTAATGATTTCCTCCTTTCACTTCTAAATACTTTTTCTTTTCTTTTCTTGTAAGTCATCTTTGATAAAGAATGGTGCTGTCTATAAGCATAAGTATGCAAAAATCCGTTATTCCTGCTTTGTGTTTTTCAGGTACACTTTCACTGGAATTTATACCTTTGAATCACTTATCAAAATTCTTGCAAGGGGCTTCTGCTTAGAAGGTTTTACTTTTCTGCGAGACCCATGGAACTGGCTTGACTTCAGTGTCATTTTAATGGCGTAAGTGGTTCAAGAACTTTTTAAGCTTTTAGGGCATGAAATTAGTGGCAAATATTATTGTAATAAATATATTGATTTAAAAGTATTTAATTTCTGCAACCTGTGAAGTTTAGACACTGCATCACACATTTGAGTACTCATAAGTCAAAGTAAAATATGGCAGGAACCAGCACGGAGTGTCAGCCACTAGTGTAATTACTGCTGAGGGACACTAATTTCATGTCCTACACTTTTCTGCTCACCAGAATGGAAGCCATCCCTTTGACTTCATGTCACCGTCCTATTACAAGCTAATTAGTTTAATTAGCTGTTCAAATACAAATCAGTGAGTTTCACTTCAATGAAATTTAAGCAAAATTGATGAAAATAACTAACTATAAAAGCAAGTTGTACTGAAGAGACAGGTAAATTTTGAAGTATGATTGCTAATACTGCCACAGAGGTTTTGAAGACCCACATAATTAGTATAAGCTCTGCCTCAATTCTGAATAACTGTGATTTAATCCTACAGGTATGTAACAGAATTTGTAAACCTAGGCAATGTTTCAGCTCTTCGAACTTTCAGAGTATTGAGAGCTTTGAAAACTATTTCTGTAATCCCAGGTAAGAAGTAACTGTGTAAGGTGTTAGGCCCCTTGTAACTCCAATTGTTATTTGTGTGCTGTCATTGTGTTTGTGTGTGAACTCCCCTATTACAGATATGTGACAGAGTTTGTGGACCTGGGCAATGTCTCAGCGTTGAGAACATTCAGAGTTCTCCGAGCTTTGAAAACAATATCAGTCATTCCAGGTGAGAGCTAGGTTAAACACCGAGGCTGACTTTTCTTCCATTGAAGTCGAATTCACTTCTTTTGAGCATAAGTCTTGCTGTTCACTGCTTGTGTTGTCAAAAAGAAAAAAAAAAAAAAGGCACGGATCATAAGCCTGGATTATGATTCTTTGCCTTTTCAGCATTAGCTTCTTTTATTTTGCAAAATCAGCCTTTGAGTTTAACAGATTCTTGCATGAAACATACAATATGAGGCCTATGGGTTATTTTGCTTTGTTTTTCTGCATTTTATTATGACAAGTTGTCTCTTTTACATTAAAAAAGCTTTAGCGCTTTGGCTTTCTTGATTTTGTATTTTTTCCTTTATTTTACCAATTAAAATTGACATTAGTCTTAAAGACAACCAAGTAACAACAAAAAAGCTACCAAAAAGGAGATAAATATTGCACAGGAAAATTTATCAAACACAAATAATTTTTTTCCTCAAAATTACTTGCAATTCTTTCTCATGCTATCTTCATACCGTTGTGAAGTCATATTTAATATTAACTGGAAACTGAATTATCAGCAGAATATTAAATGCAGAGATAAATTAAGAAATAAAATCAAATCTGTAACAGGAAAGCATGATTGATAAAATTTCCTGCTTGAGAATAACATTATATATTCAGTTTATTGGAATATATGTACATTGCATATTCATAAAAAAGAATCTTTTTCTTTCATTCATCTTCACAAGCTCTGAGGCTGCTCATGAAGCTTTACTTTTTGAGAAATAAAAAATAATTTATTTTAAGTGTCTGCATGACGTCTTAATTATATGGGAAGGGCAAAGATACTCTTTGATAAATCTATGGATCTTTTCTCTTTGCAGGCCTAAAGACTATTGTAGGAGCCCTAATTCAGTCTGTGAAGAAGCTCTCGGATGTAATGATCCTGACTGTGTTTTGTCTGAGTGTATTTGCACTAATAGGGCTGCAGCTGTTCATGGGCAACTTGAGGAATAAATGCCTGCAGTGGCCTCCAGACAATTCTACTTTTGAAACAACTGTTATTTCCTACTTTAATAGCACAATGGATGAAAATGGTACATTTGTTAATATGACAGTGAGCACGTTTAACTGGAAGGATTACATTGAGGATGAAAGTAAGAATGACTGATATAACTATTTCTTATATATTTGTGGCTATAGTATGTAACTATTTGTAATAAAGAATATTGAACGGTTTATATTTCTGCCTTATGTAGAACTGCTTACAGTCACTGACTGACAGAGATCAAATACATACAATAAAAAAGTACAATAACCAGAAGGGTTCCTAAACAAACTACAAAGTGATCAGCAGCTAGCCACTTTGATTTTATTACAATTTATTTTTATTTTACTTTGTAGTACTTTCAGATTAATTCGATTTATTCACATGTATTTCTAATGCTTTCTACACAGCTCATTTTTACATTTTGGAAGGACAAAGAGATGCCCTACTTTGTGGTAATAGCTCTGATGCAGGGTAAGCCCTTACAAAAATCCTCTGTTATGTTCTGTAGAAAAAGCAGTAACATGAAACCTATCCGTAGCAGTTGCAACTCCATATTTAGCAATGTTACAGAACTTAAGAGAGTTTTGCTGCTAAACAATGATTTCTTACTTAAGTCAAAATATTTTACTCTCTGGCTAAACAAAATACTCATTAACAGCCTTTCTTCCTGCTTGATTGGAAAATGATGTTGGTGTTAATGATAAAATCTGAACTCTTGTAAATTCTATTTTGGAGATGTACTGATTGAAGAAAATAGGATGAAAACAAAGGTTGGAACTGAGAAAGAGAATATGTAAAATATTAAGAAAGCACAGTAGTGACTTCATAGTTCAAGACTCAGACTTTTTTCAAGCCACACTCTTTTTCATTACTGGCAAATTCTGCCATACACACATGCCCAATTATAAGCCTAGAATTGTTAGCTGAACTCCAATACCTAACTGGCAACAGTGAAGAAGCTTATTAAAAGAAAAATCTCAGCATTATGTGGGAGATCACTAACAGTACAATTGGATTTAGCTAATAATATTGTTTAACCTGTCTGTAACCTTAACAACATTTTAGCAATTATTTCTACCAGGAAATTATTCATTTGGAATAAAGATTCGCTTTGCAAAATGTGACTGACGAGAATTTAAATATTTAGGTCATTTCAACCAGTGAACAGATGGAAAGGGTATCTTTCATTTACTTTCTTATTAGTTAATGTGTTAGGACTTTTTTTTCTGAATGAATTTAATTGTAGTTCAGGGATTTCCTGTGGAAAAATAATGCATATTGTTCCAAAAGATAATAAATATGTTCTAGAAGGAAACAGAAGTTATGACTAAGTACCTCCTGTTTGGTTTTCACATAGGCAGTGTCCAGAGGGATATATATGTGTGAAAGCTGGTAGAAACCCCAACTATGGTTACACAAGTTTTGACACCTTCAGTTGGGCTTTTTTGTCACTCTTTCGGCTAATGACTCAGGACTTCTGGGAAAACCTGTATCAGCTGGTAAGAAATTTTTATGACATAAAAACTGTAGGCAACATACAAAATTATATAAATAGGCTTATTTGTACATGAGCTGAAAGCATAATGCTGTTGCAGTAACAAAGATAAGTGGTGGAATAATAAATATAGATATGCTTTCTACTCCTAGACTCTACGTGCTGCTGGGAAGACATACATGATATTTTTTGTTCTGGTGATTTTTCTGGGCTCTTTCTATCTTATCAACTTGATCCTGGCTGTGGTTGCCATGGCCTATGAAGAACAGAATCAAGCAACCATGGAAGAAGCAGAGCAGAAAGAGGCAGAATTTCAACAGATGCTGGAACAACTGAAGAAGCAACAAGAAGAAGCTCAGGTAATGATGGAAATTGTACTTTCTGAACAGCCTTATTCTTAAAGGCAAGGATAATAATTTTTTATGAATTAGAACATGTAGAAATTTTGCAATGAATTACAGAAAGAAAAAAGTCTTGTTTTCCACACAAGTTGTAAAAGTGGAAATAGCCAATAACTAACTAAATAGCAAAAAAACAAGTTAATGGTACAGAAAAGAATGCTACTAAGTTCACCAAAAGACTGTAAAAGCAAAATATTTGTGATAAGAGTGTCCTAGAAACCTGACTTTAAGTAATCATAGTTCATGATGCTTTTATGTTACAGATCTTATGAACAGCGTGAAAAAATTCTAGTGGCGTTACTTCTGGTTTACGGTCTGAGTGAGAATTTCCAGGCTTGCTGTACTTAATAGTTCTTCCCCAATATTCAGAAAATAGAGAGGATTGTAATCAGCGTTCTTTTAGGTTTCTATCCAGCAAGGTATTTAAGCATATCCCTAATTCAAGCACAATGAAGTCAATCAGAAGTTTATATATCCTTGGAACAGACTAGCAATATTTATAACAAAGGTATTACTTCAGAATTCTTTTAAAGGAATCTTTTTCTTTGAAAAGAGAAGAAAATTATTTAAAGTTTTATGAGAAAAAGACATTTTAATAGATAATTTTGTGTGAGGTTTTCTTATCTGAAAGTAAAATATATGCAGGAATTCAGCTCCATTGGTCAGATGTCTGTCTAATTTCTGGACTGATTTTCTATTGCTTTTCATCTGGTATGTAGTCATTTTCAATAGGACAATGTTTATAAAATGCTAGCAAATTAGAATCTTCTATGAAACTATAGTTTTGGTAGTATTTTACAGCTACTTTCAGTAAGTTAGAATGATTCTATAAAGTGCTAATAGAAAGTGAAACTTTCCATCTTTTTCTTGAAAAGAAAGCTTTATGCATGACCTGTGAAGTCTAATTAGCATATCTCTATTTTAGTCATTAAACCGTATCACTTCCAAATCACTAAAGAAAAAGCAGAATCCTGCAAAATTCAGATTAAAAATAGTTAAATATCAGCAAAGAGTACTTTTTTTTTAAATCTGGTATTTTCATCCATGAAAGACACTAAATCACATTATATCAAAAGATATCAGGAGTCTCATCTAGATGTTTGTGTGTTTGAGAGTGGGGACAGAGATGAAGCTGATCGAGAATTAGGAAGAAGAATAGAACCATATGAAACAGAGAGTACAAGGAAGGTTGGATAAAGGCCCTGGAAAGTCGTTACTTTTTAAAATTAATGACCACTCAATTCATTATAAGAAGAGCAGTATTACAGTCAAGATCCCTTTTGTACGTGAAAATATTAGCAGGAAGTATACATTACAAGGTGGAGCTGCTGAATTGGTTGCTGAGACAGAAATGGGTGGGACCCATCTCTTCACTCCCTTGACACTGAACCTATTCATCCACAAACCTAAGTCATCACAGCGGTCTTTGGATTGCTCCACTTGTTTCACCTTTGGTGTTAGTATTATGAAGTAGATGGATGATGACTCAGCATCTGCTACCTTTGTTTCTGTTTGTTAGAGCATTTGAAGGATGATATTCTGAAACCAGTATGACAAAATTTTGAGTATCACTTTTTTTAATTGATAAACACTTCAGAGTCCTTTTAATACTCCATTTAGCAGAAAAAGTCTGTATCAAGTCAACTTGTATAGCATGGGTTGTATATTGTGGTGTAGAAAGCCATTAATTCATACTATGAGCTTTCAAACTATCCTTTCCTGCTGTAGAGAGATATCTCATCATTCCTGAAAGACTTGGCATTTAATATAGTATGTTTTGCCAGATAATTACTAGTCATCTTTGTTATATAACCCTAGTCTCTTGCCATTTATCACACCACCCTTTTTTATAAGCTCACAGCAGCCTATCATCTTCCCAAACATATTTTCCACTGCAGAATTTCATAGCAATCTCCCAGACAGTTCTTTCTAGGAAGAGTACTGGACACACTCTCAATTCTTCCTTTATTTGATGATGAAATGAACCTGTTTCCCTAATGAACCAACTCAGGTAGGCTGACCACTGTAGTTGAAGATACTGGTCCTGAGTTTTGGGATGGCTCTTTGCTCCAGTAAGTCATCTCATCCCTTTCCATCAGAGAAAAAAACCTAAAGTTTTTCTCCTCTCTGGCCACAGCAGCAACAGGCAATAAATGTACCTTTCTGTATCTATAACAAAGACCTAAAGTGCTGTTACGGTGGGAAATGTGGGAGGGGAAACATGCAGAGGGAGGTAGGGCTTGAAGACATTTCTAGAGGGTGGGCCTGTTTGCCAGTGAAGGTAGAAAGAAAGTGAGGGGAGTGTCCTTGCTGTGAAGACAGTGAGGAAAGGCTGGATTCGACTACTTGCAGGCTGCTTAGTTGGATTATGATACATTAACTCATATGGTGGATGTTAGGGATTAGTTTTCTCTGTAAGGACTCAGAAGGGATCAGCCGAATTAGAGCATGATGTGGGGCTTTTCTTGAGAGACAATGGGGAAGCAGGTCTGAAATACATGAAAAAGCACCATGTTTTTACTTTTCTGACTACCTTAAACAAGTCTTTAAGGAATAGTGATGCTATTGTTATGCTGAAGTTGATGCTTCAAGTGGTTCATTCTACTAAACAATGAGGAGCTATACGACTCAGTAGTTTATCTTCAGTTCAATTTGTTTGTGTATATTTGCATACTCAAGGGTGTACAACCAGCAGTATTACCACAGCGATAATAAAAACAGTTGATAAAAGCCTATAAAATTGTTCATTTTTGGCCTACTAAGAATACCTTGCTTTGTAACCTGACAGGCAACAGCAGCAGTAGCAGCAGCGTCAGTTGCATCAAGAGATTTCAGTGGTGTAGGGGGATTAGGAGAACTCTTGGAAAGTTCTTCAGAAGCATCAAAGTTGAGCTCAAAGAGTGCTAAAGAAAGAAGAAACAGAAGGAAGAAAAGAAGACAGAAAGAAATGTCTGAAGCAGAGGACAAAGGAGATATCGATAAGTTCCCCAAGTCCGAGTCAGAAGACAGTATCAGAAGGAAAAGTTTCCGCTTCTCCACAGAAGGAAGTCAACTGACATATGAAAAAAGGTTCACATCTCCTCACCAGGTACAGCACCCTTTTTTATTAAATCATGTAGGTCTACTCTAATTTGGTTTTGACTGACATTACAGCGGCTTTACATATTGGAAGTTATGTAAAAGGTGAGTGAAGGAAAAAAAAAGTGGTAGTACCGTTAACAGCGTTACAGTTTGATATGGTTTGACCCATTCTGTTAGCAAAGGGATAAAAAGAACATACCAAGGATAATTGTAAACTTAATTAAAACATTTCTGAAAATGTATTTCTGAAGATGTATCTGGTAGATTGGAGAAAGAATCAGACTCTTTGATTAGTACTCATATATTTGCATTAATCAACCATAGGTTCTCTGTTCTGCATCCATTTCAAAACTATATAAATATGTGGGTTTTTTTAACAGACCACATCATCAAAATACCCTGCATAGGAAATTCCACATTACCATTAGTTTCTATTTTTTTTTCTTAATTAGCTTCTTTAAATGGTAGATAATGAGAAAAGTAGCTCTAGTACTCCACAATAAAGACAAACTATATAGGGATCGTTTGGGCTTATATTTATAAGAATTTAGTCATACTGCTCTTTTGCATTAGGAATTCATTATAAAAGATGGAGAATCATTGCAATCATAGAAAAAAATAGTTTAGGAAGGACCTCTGGAAATCATTTAGTCCAAACTTCAAAGCTCTACTCTCTTAAATCAAAGGATCTCTTCCATCGCTTAAGGATACCTTTGCTTATTTCAAGTCTACACGCAGTTATGGTGTTTGTAGAAAAATTACTCAAAATGCATCTCTTCAAAATGATCATGTCTGGTCTCAGCCAATAGATGACATTTACCTACCAATATGACCCATGTTTAACTACCAATGTTTATCCTATTTAATGTTCATATCAAGTGTGTTAGTTTACAGACTCATATAAAATATGAGATTCAGTGGCAGAAATACTTCACGCTGAAATGTATGCACTGAGGGGAGGAAAGCTTAATTTGAGACAAAGCCTCAGTAATTAGTCAAGTATAAGGGATGATGCCTGGTCTGAAAAAGATACATTTGCATTTCTAAGGAAGTGAAGTAATGTTTATTGTAATTAAGAAGAATGATGAAGCTGTTCTCTGGATAAGAAATAAAGAAAATGTAAGAAAAACAAATTATTAAATCTATTTCAACTCCTTTGAGTAATATTGTAAGTATATTTCCAATCTAATAAAATGTACTATTAGTTTTGGGCCAAAGCTGCTCCAAAAAATCTTTCATTACTTGGAATGGGCTTTGAGTCAGGCTGATACAAAGGAGCTGCAGCCAAAGATCTCATCTTAGACTGCACAGTCCTGCCTCACTTAGAGATATATATAGTGTCCGTACCTCATAGATGAGGATGGTGAGTGACTTGACCACACTAAAGAAGAGTCACTGACAGAGTCTGAGCAGAAAGGACTTTTTGACTGTTAGTCCTGTGCTTTAACTACTTCATAATAGGCCTCTCCATTGTCTAGTCTAAATTCCCTGATGCTCTTTTATATACTTCTGGTGAAGAGACTGATTAAGGAATATATTATGTTTATATTAAATACATTTTTGGTGCACAGAAAAAATACTTAATACAGAAGCCTGTATACTAAGAGGAGGAGAATTTGAGACAAAGAGATTCCATAGATAATAAACTTTCTGTAGCTTTATTAACATACAGTAAAACATTGTTGCATGTATTTGTTCATACTCTGAAACTCTCAGAAAGCTTTCATCCCCTCAATTGTCATGAAAAACTGTGAAACTTCCACAGAAACTTAAAAAGCTTAGGAAAGCAAGGCATTTCAAATGACTTGGTAACATTAAAATTAAATGTGAATTCGTGTTGCAGAATAAATAATTAAAACTCATTAAAATCAAGTGAAAACAAACATTGTATATGTCTTAGTTTTGAAAGGAAAGAAAAGAAGGAAATGGTGCAATAGACAGGAAACAGCTCATCTTGAGACGTCATGAATTACACAGCAGGAAGGAAATAAGTGACCATCTGAAATAATGTTTTTTAAATTAATTTAAAATTTTAAAATACGAGACTTGTATCAAGCAAATAATCTAATTGAGGATAATTTATTAATTAAAGACTGTCTTGGCAATTGTTTCTGCAGTTGTAAGAATGCCTTGGGGCAAATGTTGCCTGCATATAACAAATAAAACTGAGCTGCCATAAGAGTGGCAGGGTTACAGGCAGTAGAACTGGTAAAGGAAGAGCTGGTTTGTCTTGTTAGCCATGCAGTTAGCTCCCTGGTGAAACAGGGTGGCAGAGCATGAAACAACGCGGTAGAATGGTAAGGGGAGATAATCTGCCCAGTTGGCCCGTGTAGAGATTTTGTCCTTTGACGCAATATTCCATGTGCAAATGAATGATGCAGCCTGCAAGAAAAGCCAAGCTTTCCTTTCAGACCTTACTTTCCAGGAGCATGTAGACACATATATTTCTGCCTCTGCATGTGTTAGAACTGAGCCATTTTGGCGTATATCTTTTGTCTCAATCCAGCAGGGACTTGCAGAGCAGGCATTACTCCTCCCAAATCCCTGAGGGGCCTGATCCATTTAGCTGTGCTCAGAGCATGATAACACATATTGGAAAGATTGGACTACAAACAAAACATAGCAGCCATGGAAACATTCTCTAAAAAAACAAGGGTAGCAGTGGTAGTCAGACGAAACCTAGTAAGCATGTGATTTTTTGAAGGACGGTAGGTTGGCCAAATACATTTACAAAGAAATGTACAAAGGGTGCAGTAATTAGTTTACCAGTGTCATGCTCTATAGCAGCTAGAGCTTTTTTTAGATAAAATTATCTTTCAGCATAAGCAAACCAGCACTTTTTCTCCAGCCAAGTTTACATAAATGGGTTAGCAAAACCATTTGGCTGATATTCAAGTAAGCTTAGCCTGAGGCTGACACCCAACATAGAAAATTTCAGCCCAAATTATTAAAATTTGGTATAGCTGTAAGAGCAGAAAAATACACCTCTGAATGGTAAACACCTGCCAGCCTTTATAACAGGCAGTACTACCAGTTCAGCACACAGATTACGTGTGTGTATGTATAAATCTGAGTATGCATATACAGAGATACATATGGATTGATATATGTATATATTCAGTGTTTGGTTTTCACAGTATTAATATAGGCTTATATATTATAGTGCAGTTTTCACTTTCACTTCAATTATCCTGGGATAAAAACCACTGCTATTACATATGAGCACTTTCCACCTGCAAAACTAGTGAAAAACTGAGAATCATCTCAAACCAGGTTTTTGATATACCAAGATGCAAAAATTTGTACAAATGCAGAATTGAAGAAAGCTTAATGCAAGGTTTCTTTTTTCCACAATTAGTACTCACTTTATTTATTCATGAATGCTGTTAATAAAATATGTAGCAAGGGAGAAGAACATTCCATTAACCAGCTTCTACTGTAATTAAAAGATGGATTACCAACAACCACCGATTTATTTTTCTCATTTGTAAGAGGATATCTTTAGGTAACTGTGTCCCTGGTGAATGCTTGCTTTGAGCTGCCTGACGGCCAAGTGGTTCCTTCTGGTAGGTGTGCAGCCTGCTATAGCCCCTGGAGTGCTACGCCCAAGAGTGCTACTAGTCATGTTCACACTGTACCTCCAGAGCTTCCCCAAGCTGTTACCTCTGTCTTCTAGTTTTAGAGTACTGCGTATGTTGTTCCCACACTATTGAGCCTATTGTGAAGAGGGCAGACAAGTTCTTTACATCATCTTAGACTGAATTTAATACCAAACTTAAGACCACTTCTGCCTCTAGCAAATAGAATAGGAAACAATGATCGGTGATCATTATCAGTTGTTATCCCTAGGAATCCAGGGGATGAAGAAGGGAAGAAAAGTAAAAGATTTTTAGGTCTGTCCTCTAATAGAAGAAGGAATAAAAGACAAATACCTGCAAAACCTTGATAGTGATGTTTAGAACTGTCTCCAGCACAGTCATAGGTCCATACCAATTCAACCTGCCTTCTTTGCTCAAAACTGTCCAACCTTACTTATGTCTTCTGCACAACTTTTCCTCAGTCCTGCTACATTACCTTAAAAAGAATTTTTCCACTCTACTTCAGGTCCCCTAGTGAGCACGTTCCCCTAATGGACACACTGATACTATTGAATAAAAAAGTGACTATCCTTCTTCCAGCACCATAACTATTCTTTGAAAAGCGAAGAACTTAGAACTTCAGTTCTAATGCTGTTCTGTTTTTGTTTGTTTTAAATCTTTTACAGTCTTTGCTGAGCATTCGTGGTTCCCTGTTCTCACCAAGGCGCAACAGCAAAACAAGCATTTTCAGTTTCAGAGGTCGTGCAAAGGATATAGGATCTGAAAATGACTTCGCTGATGATGAGCACAGCACTCTTGAAGACAATGAGAGCAGAAGAGATTCTCTCTTTGTTCCAAATCGACAAGGGGAACGGCGCAACAGTAATATTAGTCAGGCCAGTGTGTCATCTAGAATGGTACCAGCCCTTCCAGTAAATGGGAAGATGCACAGCACTGTGGATTGCAATGGAGTAGTTTCCTTGGTTGGAGGACCTTCAACTCTAACTTCACCTACTGGTCAGCTTATACCAGAGGTAATTATAAGTAAACCAGTAATTATTACAGTTTGGTTCAGGCACGGAATTTTTTCTTACTGCTCACTTCTGCATCCCTTATCATTTCTTAGAGCTGTGAAAAACAACTTGCAATAGTTTCTAAATAACAGAACATAAGGGAAAAAAAGTCCTCAACCTCCTATGTCTGAGCCTCAGTAAAGTATTATATTCTCCTTGCCTTCAGCAAGAGATCTGCACATAGAAAGAAAAATCCGTAAATTGAATTTGACAATTTGTATATAGTTTCACCTCATCAACAAAGGTAGACATCTGATATATAACTAAGGATATAACTTGGAAATATGTATAGGAAAACACCTGCAAAATTAAGCAAAATGCAGTTACTACTCCTATGATATTTAATAGAAATACCCTTACTGAACTTATCTTGAAAAAATCTGTCTCATAACTTTAATGAGAAAAATAGATACAATTCCTATGTACCTTTGCAATTACGTTACATTTCAGTCTCAGTTTCAGACTTCTGTAAGCTAACATGTTCTTTTAAACTTTCAAAAAAGCAAGCTTTTTCATACATAGTATTTTAATATGGATTCAGTATGGTATTTTGGCAGCTATAATAGAACTGTATTTAACTTGAAAAATATTTTCATTATAAATAAGTATTGAGATTTCATTAATATTATTACACATTTCTTTTTATTTTTGTTTCTCTCCTATCTTGATATAGACCTTCATACCAGAAATTCAATCAGATTACCTCAGAGGTTATGTGTATATAGTTCTATTTCAGAAATACATTCACCTGAAAAAAGATTTAGCCATTTAACTCAGGAGTCTTCTCTAAAGAAATAGTACTAGTGAATGCTCGAAAATGGTTTTTCATCTTCATACTAAGATAACCTTGAAATCCCTTATGAGTTCTGCAGGCTTTTTTATTCATTTTCTGGATGGGGACAGAATAATGAGAAAAAGAGTGAGTGGTTTCCATGTATCACAGAATCAGTGGCAGAGCAGGAGCCAAGATTTAGGAACTTTTTGATTCCACTTCTGTGTTGAGATCCCCAGGCCACACTCCAGAAGAAAAGCAAAGCAACTGTAAGGACACCTACATGCTACAGAGTAGTGACGTGTTAGGCACATTTAAATCAGAGCTGGGTATTATTGCTTTGAAAAGATAATTAGAAGCCATACAAAACAGAGAGGACTTGCATATTCATTGCAAGAATATATTACAAATTCTGTATGAGCATTGCGGTGCGTGAGAATTAGGTAGAAGATATATTAAATAAGATGTGATTTTTTTCTCACATAAAATTTTCCAAGTACACTTATCAGGTTAGGAATGCAGTACATAGTATTAGAGAGATAACTAATTCCTAGAATTATACTCATGTTTCTTGTATCAAAGTTACTTTCTTAAATAATAGTTCACTTCTTTCTGTATTTGCATTTTAATTATTTAACATGACTAGCTGCTGGAAATTAAGGTGGCAGGTTTCAACTTTGATCATTTTTTCTTGAAAGAATAATAATAATCACTAGCAAAGAGATACCTAGCAAAAACGTTGTTCACTCAGTCATTTAAATGAGAACAACTTTTTGTCCCACATTGCCTTGGTATTGTGTCCCCCAGTTGATTATTTGTAGCACCGTACAAAATTCCCACTGAGGTCCTCAATAAAGAACAAAGAAATTCCTACAGGAACAGAAACCTTCAGTGTGTAAGAAAAGTCTAGTATGCTGCACAAAGCTGATTTTGATTATCACTACAATATTTATACAGTAAATATTGTTAATTGGTGGTTGAAAAGGATGGTTTGATTCCTCAGTATTTAATTTACAGGGCACCACTACAGAAACAGAAATAAGAAAAAGAAGACTCAGTTCTTATCAAATTTCCATGGAAATGCTTGAAGATTCTGCTGCAAGACAAAGAGCAATGAGTATAGCCAGCATACTTACAAATACAATGGAAGGTATTTATTTGATGCATTTTATCTGACAGGCAGTTCAGTGATTTTCTGCTACCTATATATACAGAGCAATTATTTACATAATTTCCTTTGTAAATGTAAAACTGGACATGTGAAATCTCTGAACATCAGACACAAAAGGCTTTTGAGCATATCTAAGATCATTTACACATTCTAAATGATTAGTCATTTATTTTTCATGACACCTTCAAAAATATTACTCTATTGAGAGGACTAACAGAGACAAAAGAGTCATAGTTAGGGGATTGCCAGAGCCCCAGAGAGAGAATACAGGGATTTTCTTCCTATAAGACATCAACGGGAAAAATCAATTAAGATACACAGGAATTGCTATGACAAAGGCAGTGATGTGCTAGAACAGTCATTTCCTTTAGACTTAAAATCCAAGGATAGACAATAGGAAATTGGAATGAAAAAGACAGTTTTAAGGAAAACAACCAACTATAATCAACCCATGCCAATGCACATGAACTTGCCTTCCTTAAGCATTTCCTAAACTTTCTTAGGTAAGTATAGCAAAGATAAAAAATATTATATTTACTATATGAAAAAGCATACATTGTTGGAATTGTTTTTCTTAATCAATGGAAACTGAGTACACTCACACTTCATACATGTACCATTAAAATATTTGTATAAGCTTAAAGGATCTATATACTGGATACTGGCACAGTGTGACAGCTGTTACAGTCAGACAAACCCTGCAGATGTCCTACAACACATATTCTAAAAGGACAAGAAGTTACCAAGAAAATTTACAGTGTTCTTAAGGTTACTTTAAGTCAGAATTGATATCTACTTTTTAAAGTGAGTTCTGAAGCCCTTTGATCTCAGATAAACAAATAGATACGAAACTAATTGTAGTCAGAAATATAAGGCCTATATTGCCTATTTTCTTCTAAAAGTATTCACAAACCTTTCTCACAAACATGTATCTTTCTGAGTATGTCTTCCTACTTTAGTGCAAGCGTGAACTGCAAGCTCTTGATTCTCGGTGTGCAATTCTTAGTTCTCCTCCCAGGTAGAGAGGATATCTCCTTAGAGGGTGCTGCTCTCTTCCTCTGGCTGGATAGTTTGTACTTCCGTTCTTCTGGCCAGAAAAAACATGTCAGTGTAAACTAAATCATCCCGATAGTCACCTCCTACCCACATCTGGTTTCCATTATTTCAGAAGTTCCTAGGTGCAAGCAATGGAGTCTTCTGTGCCAACTCAGCGTCAGGTGTGAGTGGCCACTTTTGTCCAAGGCCAGTACCATCCTACCTCTCAGCATTCTAAGTTAACATATTCAGAAATGTGATTATTCCGCCCAATCCATATATTCCTTCAGAAGCACTGTCTTTGTTATCGTTTATAAAGATTATAGAAGACTTTCGCTACTTACGATACCCTTTTTCTGCCTGAAGGCTACAGTCTGATGTAATGGGAGAGCTTGTTAGTTTCAATGAGTTTGAGAGCTGTGGCAACTGACCTTTTAACTTCCCGTAATTCCACCCATGTAGGACAATATTAGAGGCAAAAATCAATCCACTGGTCCTCAAAGTGTAGAGTTCAGCACTAAATCCTTATTAGCAAATACTGTAAAACAGCATGTTTGCTATTTTAGCAAAATCACCCATAAGTGTCATGATGATGGAGACCTCCCTGTGCTCTAAGGGATGTCTGAAAACTGGCAAATTTCAGATTTGGGTTGATGCCACTATGCAGAAATTTTATTGAAACTGTTGTGGCCATTTCTTACATATTTTGTAGTCTAAGTATTTCTCACTTAAGCAAATATCAATATTCCTTCTGGTCTGCCCTCAAACATCCCATCACATTAGACATTCATCCTTGCTATTATTAACTCAGTAGAAGTTACTATTCTTCTGTAACTTTGACAATATTGACAGTGAAATGGAAGAAAAAATAGTTTATAAAGACTCTAATTGAGAGCAGAGTTGTTCTGCTAATACTAACATTGTTGTTCTGTTTCCCAATTGGTAGACACTGCAACTGTACAAGTCGTTTTCAAACAAAGTCAAATGATAATTTTTAAAATAAGAAAACAGGCGTTCTGTATATTAAAAATATTGATTCAAATAAGCAATGATAGGTATGCGCACCAAGTCATTTATCTG